CGGTGTGCTCGTGGGGGCGGCGCGGAGAGAGGGGCGGCGCACCGGCGGGCACCTGTCTGCGCTCGCGGCACTTCGCGGCGGGCGCACGGAGGCCACCTGCTCGTCACGCCCGGGGGGTTTGCGCAACATCCTCAGGGCGTTCTTCATTTCTCCTGGGCACATCGCCTGGGTCGAGGAGTTGGAGGAGGCTCGAGCGTTCTTGCTGGGGTTTCCGAATCGAGGAAACGGAGGCAGAGGGGACTGAAGGGCGCCTGCTATCCAGGTCGAGGGCGGGGCTGGCTCTGCCCTTCCAAGTGCGGGTCCCGCTCCGGCTTCTGCGAAGTCTAGTATCTTAATAAAGTAAAGGGAAGAAAATCCAAGTTCCTACAGGCCGGGCTCCCCCAGTAGCTCAGGGACTTTGGGAATTCTCCTTTGGGGGGATGTTTTCGCAGCTTTGCTTCTCCGATAGGCTTTATTTGACTTTAACGTTTATAAAGCACTTTGTGCCAGGTATTCTTGTAAGCACTTTAAATGTCAGCTCTTTTAGTTTACCTTTCTGAAACTTACACAGTGGGATTATTTGGTGTGTTTGGGTTACTGTAGAGGAAAGTGGACTAGGGGAGAGGAGGCAGAATATGGTATAGCATCTGATAGTTTCAGTCTTTTTTCCACAGCTGCGCCCTATTTTTCCCACATCCGAGGGACTAGTATAGAATAGTTCAGAGTGATGTCCTTAAAGTCCTTCTGTTTTTTGGTGGCCGGACACTTACCACTGTTCAGGCTTCTAGGAGTCCTGCAGCAATTGGTACTAGTTACTTGGTCTCCGTCTTTAAGACTTGGCCCAGAAAGTACTTCTTGCAGGAAACCTTATCTGATTCTCTACTTTTCCATCCCGGCAAGGTGAGGGGCCTCTTCCTGTGCCTCTGTTGCTGACATCTGTCATTGCAAGGTGATGATTTATCTGATTATGTTTCCACTCCTCCCCTCCCAGCTCTTGAGAACAGCATCTACCTTAGTGCCAGGCATATGCTAAGTAAATGCTAAATGAATGTCTGAAAACTAACTTTTTACTGTAAAAATGTAATTGTGTATGATTTGGCAATAATTCACATTAAACGATGTGAAACCCCACAAAAAACACAGTGAAACATCTCCCATCCACACTTGTCTCCCAAGGTATCTCCTGGAAGAAAACCACTGTTATCAGTTTCTTCTGTTCTTTCTGGAAGAATTCTATCAGATGCAAGCGAATGTTTACATATATTCTTTTATCTCTCTGCCCTGCAAATACTAAGATATTATGCACTTTTCTGTAAACTTCTTTTTTCAACCAACAACAGAATGTTCTGTCCCACATGTAATGGAGTTGGTACCTGCCCACTGCAGAGCTTCATATGGACTTTCAGCTGGACTTTGCCAGTTCTGATCCCAAGGTCACTTGAGTGAAATGTCAGCTGCCTTGTGGGCCGTGGGACTGAAAAAGCACCCATTCAGCACGTGTTCTTTAACATTAGTTTCCTCTTCTGTAAGAGGCCACAGAACCACAGATGACAGCACCTTTTCCTCCTTTGCAAGGTGCAGGAGAAGTGGCATGGCTGGCCTATGCCAGATATGGGCCTGAAACGAGAGTTGTGAAGTGACCCTCCTGCGGCCCTGCCCCTCCGTCCCCCCTCCCCCCGCTGGCCCCATGACCCCGGCTTCCCGCAGCTTCTCTCTGATGTACTTGACTTTTTCTTGGCTCACTCCAGCCCAAGGAAATGGAGTAGAACTTGGCTGGTAACACTGGAGCAGAGCAATTGAGAAATGTGCCGATGGTCTGAGCTGGCTGCCGGTTCTCTTAATGATGGGATCAGACTGGAACAGTCATTGGCTTCCTTGTCGCTGCCCTGGGTGCAGAGCCACGCTAGTCCTAGAGAGAGGCTCACGACCTCCCCAGAGAGATTCAGGAACTTAGGGACAGAAAAGGACACAGAGAGGCTGCCCAGGGGCCCACTGAGTGTTCGGCTCTGGTCAAAGACATTTGACTGTCTGCTCCATGCAGATATGGTGGTTTTTCCAGGGATAGGGACACAAGTGGACACCATCCCTTCCTTCAGGTCACAGATAGATAAGGATTTGGAAGATAAATTCAAAAGAAGTACAAAGAATGAAATATCTGTCACAAGATTAGACGTTTTAGATTGTTTTTTTTGTTTCTGTTCTGAATTTTTTTTTTTTTTTTCTCATGTGGCATGCGAGATCTTAGTTCCCCAATCAGGGATCGAACCTGTGTCCCCTGCAGCAGAAGCATGGAATCTTAACCACTGGACCGCCAAGGAAGTCCCAAGAGTAGACGTTTTAAATAGTGTTTTTAGTAATGTTTCTTAAAATGTGGTCCAAAGACAACTTGCATCAGAATTAGCACTGAAGCTAGACTTGCTGAATCATATTCTCTGAGGGTGGAACAGATTTTTCCCTAAGAGATTTTAGCCTTCTGCTGATTTTAAAACAGGTTACCAAAAGACGGACCCTTCCAGATGCTCAGGAATAGGAAATTGCTTAGGCAGTGTTTACATTTGGGACTTTTTTTTAAAAGAAATTTATTTATTTATTTGCTGTGTTGGGTCTTTGTTGCTGCGCCCGGGCTTTGTTTGGTTGCAGAGAGCAGGGGCTACACTTTGTTGCGGTGTATGGGCTTCTCGTGGTGGCTTCTCTCGTTGTGGAGCACAGGTTCTAGGCACGCGGGCTTCAGTAGTTGTGGCACACAGGCTTAGTTGCTCTGTGGCATGTGGGATCATCCCGAACCAGGGATCGTACCCGTGTCCCCTGCATTGGCAGGCGGATTCTTAACCACTGCGCCACCAGGGAAGTCCCTACATTTGGGACTTTGAAGCAGCTCAGAATGCTTATGGAAATAATGATGTTACATCTATAGCTAAAAGGTGGCTCTAAAGCTCACTTTGGTGCGTCCCCTAGTGTAAGTAATCATCAGTTGCTATGCAGATACCTGAAGACTGACGGGCCTGTCCCGCCCTTTCACCTCTTTTCCTCTAGGCGGTGGGAGAGAGGAGGCCAAGGGGGCCTCTTGCATCCAGCTGAGCCCTGTTGTGCCGCCCCCGGTGAGGATGCAGGGAGGTGCTGGCATGGCTTTTCTCGGTCCTGGTGACTCACAATAGCAACAGAAAGGAAAAAAACAAAAGCTTCTTAGGTTCCTCCAAAGATGAAACAAAGTTCTTTCACCAGAACCTTGGGAAGGGCACCCAGACACAGTGCAAGATGCAGTTCTAGAACTAAAACCTCAGGGTTGTATTTGCAGTCTAAGTCCAGAAACACCCCACACCTCCTTGGGAGGCCGGGTCAGGCAGCAGTGGAAGGAGGCACTCGGGATTCCTACCCCCCCGGGTTTCTGGCCCCATCAAGTTCTACATCCTTGAGCAAACTGCTTCTCTCCAAGAATCATTGTTCCTGACATGGGTACCTGCTGTCTAGGATCATGGTGAGGATGAAATGAGATGATCTGAGAGAGTGCAAAGTGACTAGCACTCAGTAGTTATCAGCTAATGAAAAAATGCTGTGTTAGTTCCATCATCCTTGCCCAGAGCCCTCACAAAACAGACCTTTTCAAGGTCAGTGGTTAATAAGGTGGAATTAAAACCCAGATCCTTCTAACTCCAATGTCCATGTTTCTATAAGTTCTTAGCATTTTCAGTGAGAAGTGTACTTTTACCAGTGCCAATCACAAAGTGCTAAGGAATAGAGGCAGAGGAAGGAAGAAGATAAAAGAGCAGGAGGTGTTTCCAGGAGTTATCTCTTGCCCTTGTTTTCACCACAGCTTGACTCCTAGGACTGAAAGTCAGGGAGAGCTTTGGCCTACTTTGCACCGATGAGTGAAGCTGGACGTGTGGCTGACCCTTTTTGTCCTTTTGGAAACATCTGAATGCAGCCTGGCAGCTCTTCATCCCCCAGTGTCATCGTTTTTGACTGTGCTGCTCAGTGCCTGTGGTGATTCTTGCTGTCCCCGGACGTGGAGAGCTCGAAACAGTTTAGGCATCTGCGTGTTAGCTCCTCTGAGGTCAGAACGACCCCTTCCTGGTCCACAGGCAACGCTGACACACCTCTACTGTGGAAGCTGGAGGGAGAGGTAGTGGCGGTTCGGGCTGACCTGGGAGGAGACCCATTTCCCTCAGGAGCCAGGCTGCAGACACCTGCCAGGCTGATCCACACACCTGTTTCTGTTGTTGTGCAGTGTATACATCACAGCTATATTGGGGATGAGTCTGATTTTCATATCTTAGCCCTCTTTCACCTCTTTCATCATTCTTCACTTCCTCCCCTCCCTTAAGGGGGATAATCATAACAGTTACCACTTAGGGTCATTTTCTGTGTCTGGGATGTGCATTATTTCATTTAAATCTCATAACAAGTCTATGCGGTACTACTATTATTCCTATTTTAGGTGACAAAACTGAGATTAGAAAACTTTTCAAGGTCAGTGGTTAATAAGGTGGAGTTGAAACCCAGATCTTTCTAACTCCAATGTCCGTGTTTCTATAAATTCTTATCATTTTTAATGAGAAGCATACTTTTACCTGAGAACAAATCCCATCATCACAAAAATATTGAGTAGCTTATCCTCCCAAAAATGTCTAGTATAACAATATTCCACTTAAGAAAAATCAAGTTGAAATGAGGTCTTAAAAATCATCATGGAGAGACTTCCCTGGCAGTCCAGTGTGTAGGACTCTGTGCTTTCACTGCTTGTGGCACGGGTTCGATCCCTGGTTGGGA